CGTCACATTACTCCCCTTTGTCTAATCCAATGAACTTCTATTCTCCCCCTTCCCCCTATGGTGTGTTATCATCTGCATATCAGAGAGAATATTCAGTCTTTGTTTTGGGGGGATTGGCTTATTTCATGTACATGATATTCTCCAGCTCCATCCATTTACTGGCAAATGCTATGATTTCTTTCTTCTTTATGGCTGAGTAATATTTCATTGTGTATATATAGCACATTTTCTTTATCCATTCATTGAAGGGCACCTAAGTTGGTTCCATAGTTAAACTATTGTGAATTGAGCTGCTATACACATATCAGTGATTTCTAATTTCATTCCATTATGATTTGATAGAATGCAAGGTATTACCTCTATTTTTTGTATTTGCTAAGAGTTGATTTGTGACATAAGATATGGTCTATTTTAGAGAATAATCTGTGTGCTTTTGAGAAGAAAATGTATTCAGTCATTGATGAATGAAATATTCTATATGTCTGTTATCTAAATTATTAATTGCATTTTTACAGTGTCCCTGAAGTTTTCCAGTACGTCACCATTTAGGGGGAGACAATAAGAACCACAACCAATGCAAACATATAGCACTCAATCCAATAGATCCCACTATGATGTCTTCAATGTTAATTGGCACAACAAACAGAAAGGATATGATCAGTTATCACCTAAAATAAAAACAGCCTGCAAATGAGAACCAAGGGAAACAGATAAGTGAGAAAAAATAGGTACATATATAAAGTAAAAAAAATTAAAGGTAAAAATAAAAGAATACAAAACAAATTTAAAACATACCTAATTAAACATCCTAGTCCTCAAATACTGATCCATGAAAAAACCTGTTTCTGGGCTGGGGATGTGGCTCAAGAGGTAGCGCGCTTGCCTGGCATGCGTGCGGCCCAGGTTCGATCCTCAGCACCACATACAAACAAAGATGTGTCCGCCGAAAACTAAAAAATAAATATTAAAATTCTCTCTCTCTTTAAAAAAAAACTGTTTCCCTTGATTTTCTTTCTCTCTTTTCTTCTGCAAACAGCCAATCTCTATTGTTTTCTCTCTTATTCTTCCTTAATTTTTTACTTCGATCGTCTCTTCCCTCGTGATCCTCATATTCATCACATCCTATATCACTCTGTTCTCTCCCTGTCCAACATTCAGAATCATGAACACTTTTGCAAACTTACTGTTGTTACTGTAGGCAAAACTACTTTGGGGGACCTCCATTCGTACGGTAGGTATATTAATTTCAGTACTTTCACTTTCAGCCTGTGGTGTCTTTGCGTGTAAGGTGTGTCTCTTGCAAATGATATGTCTATTCTGATAGCCTATGTCTTTTAATTGGAAAGTTGAGGCCATTTATATTTATTGTTATTATAGAGAGATGTTTATTAATTCCTGGCATTTTAACTTATTTATTGTGTTTAATTTTGCCCTGTTTCTTATTTGCTTAGCTACTCTTCTAATGAGATTTGTTCTTCTGTGAGCTCTGAAGTTTGTTTTTAATATCTTCTGTATGCATTATTTCTTTAATTAAGCTCTGTGGTGCCAGTTTAGTAGTCATAAAATCCTTTCGTTTCTGCTTATCTTGAAAGGTTTGTATTTCATCATCAATTTGAACGATAGCTTTGTGGTCTTGGTTGACCATTGTTTTTTTCTCAGAACCTGGAACACATTGTTCCAAGCCCTTCTGGCTTTTGGAGTTGTGCTAAGAAATCAGAACTGATTTTGATTGGCTTGCCAACCAGATGTTTTTCTCTTGAGGCACTTAAAGTTCCATCCTTGTTTATGTAGGTTAGGCACTTTAATTGTGTGGTGGAGAGATTTTTTTTTCTGATCTTATTTACTTGGGGTTCTAAATGCCTATTATATTTGGTTACCCACCTAATTTGCAGGATTTGGAAAATTTTATTTTGTTATTTCCCACTAGTTTGCTATCACTGCCTCCTCAATTCCAGTGATTCTTCAATGTGGTCTCTTCTTGTTTTCCCAGTTCTTGTATTTTCTGATCACGGTTACCTTTTTTTTCTTTAATGCTGTCTTAATGCTCAAGGCTGTCCATCTGTCTTCCAGCTCTGGGGGTCTGTCTTCAGCATGGTTTACTTATTAGAGAGACTTTTAACTGAACATTTTACTTAATTATCGTGTCTTTCATTTCCAAGCTTTCTGTGTGGATCTATTTCAATATTTCTATCCCCTCATTGGATTTCTCTTTCATATTTTGTACTGACTTCCTTAATGCACTCGGTTTTTTTCTGTATTCTCTTGGAATTCATTGATCATTTTTGAAATGATTCGCTTGAATTCCTTATTTGATATTTCATCCACTTCGATATTTTGGGGATCATTTGCTGGTGAGTTGTAAATCTTAGGAGGTGTTGTATTAGCTTGCTTGCTTATATTTCTTGTAATAGACTGTTTTTAGGCCACAAAGCAACTCTAAGCAAATAGAAAAAAATTGATATAATTCCTTGCATCTTCTCAGATCATCATGGAATAAAACTAGCAATCGACACAATCAGACCTACAGACGCTGTCTAGACACATGGAGGTGGAACAGTACTCCTGATGATGAATGGGTGATACGAGAAATCATGGGAGGAATGGGAAAATTCTTAGACTCTAATGAGACTATTGACACAACCTACCCAAATTGGTCTACAGGGAAAGTTCATAGCTCTGAGTGCCTATATTTGAAAATCAGAAAGATTCCAAATAAACCACCTAATGATACATCTCAAGATTCTTGAAAAAGAAGAATAAACCAATTTCAAAACCAGAAGGAAGAAAATAATTAAGATCAGAACCAAAACCAATGAACTTGAGGATAAAACAAATACAAAAGATTGATGAAACGAGTTGGCTCTTTGAAAAGATAAATATTATTGATAATTCCTTAGCCAAACTCACCAAGAGAAAAAGAGAGAAAAACCAAATTAATAAAATTAAAGATAAAAAAAGGAAAAATCGCTACTGACATCACAGAAATCCAGTAGATCATTAGGGACTATTTTGAGAAAATGTACACACCAATAAACTGAAAAACCTAGAAGAAATGGATATATTTCCAGACCCCCACAACTTGCCAAAATGGGATCAAGCGGACGTAGAAAACCTTAAAAGATGTATAACTAGCAATGAGATATAAGCAGTAATAAAAAGTCTTTCAACAAAGAAATGCCCAGGACCAGATAGATTCTCAGCTGAATTCTACCTAAACTTTAGAGAAGAAATAATGCCAATACTCCCCAAATTATTCCATAAAATAGAAAGGGACTGAACACTTCCAGATTCATTCTATGAAGCCAGTATCAAATTCACACCAAAACCAGATAAGGGCACATTGAAGAAATAAACCCACAGACCTACATCCCTGATGAACATAGACACAAAAGGATTGATAAGTCAGCAAACCATGTTCAACAGCGTAGTAGAACGTCGTACGCCACAGTGAAACTGGTTTTGCTTCAGAGATGCAAAGTGATTTAATGTACACGAATCAATAAATGTGTAAGAAATCAGAACTGACAAGATCACTCGGCAGTCTCAATAGATGCAGAGAAGGTCTTCGACAAAATCCCACACCCATCCATGGTAAAACCATGAAGAAACTAGGGATAGAAGGAACTTACCCCGGTGTGATAAAGGTCATATATAAAAAAAACAAAGCTAACCTCAGAAAATGGGGAAAACCTGCAAGCATCTCCTTTAAAATCTGCAACAAGACAGAAAGTTCACTGTCACCACCCCTACTTCAGATGGGGTCAGAGATTCTATCAGAGAGGGTAGGTGAGAGGAGGCTACAAAAGGGATGCAGTAGGAAAGAAAGAACTCGGACCATCCCTGTGTGCAGATGATACGGTCCTCTCCTTAGATGATCCAAAAAACCACCAAAAGATGGTCAGGGCTGAGAAGCCAATTTGGCAAAGTAGCTAGTTATAAGATCAACCTGCCAAGATGAATAGCTCTCTTCCATACCAACAATGAATGCACTGAGAAGGAAATGGGAAGAAATTCCATTCACAATAACTAAAAAACAAAGAGTACCTAGGAATAAATCTGACCAAGGAGGTGAAAGACGTCTCAAGGAAGAAGGCACAGAGGATGGAGAGACCCCATGTGCATGGACAGGCAGAGTTAGTACTAGTAATGGCCACACCACCCAAAGTGATATAGTGACCAATGCCATCCCCGGCCAAACACCAATGGCGTTCTCCACAGATCTAGAAAAGACACTCCTGAAGTTCATCTGGAAGAATAAAGGACCCAGAATCCCCAAAGCAATTCGCAGCCAAAAAAAAAACCACGCTGGAGGCGTCAGTATGCCCGACTTGAAGTCATACTGTGAGCTACAGTAACAGAACCGCGTGGTTCTGGCACAAAGGAGACCCTCAGACCAGCGGGACAGAGTAGAAGGCACGGGGCAAACCACACGGATACGGTCACCTGATCCTTGACAAAGGTGCCCCAAACACACACTGGAAAAAGGACAGTCTCTAGCAAATGGTGCTGGACAACTGGCCATCTATATGTCGAAGGGTGAAACTACATCCTTCCCTCTCACCCTGCACAGAAATCAACTCCAACTGGATCAAGGACCAGAAGCTATGTAAGTCCTCAAAGAAAACGCAGGTCAACTGTCAGCTTGAAGGAAACGCAGGTCAACTGTCAGCTTGAAGAAAACGCAGGTCAACTGTCAGCTTGAAGAAAACGCAGGTCAACTGTCAGCTTGAAGAAAACGCAGGTCAACTGTCCAGATTGAAGAAAACGCAGGTCAACTGTCCAGATTGAAGAAAACGAGGGCAATAGCTCTGTCAACAGGAGCCCTGAAGCTCAGGAAATCACACCAAGAGTTAAAAAACGGACACGTCACATTAAAAAGTCTCTGCACAGGAAACAAAAGTACCCACAGAATGGGAGGAGAGCTTGGCCAGCTTCTCTTCTGACAAACGATTAAAATCTAGAATATATAAAAAGCTCAAAAAACTTTACATCAAAATACCGTGCTCGCTGCGGCAGCACATACACTAAAACTGGAACGATTCAGAGAAGACTGGCATGGCCCCTGAGCAAGGGTGACACGCCAATCCGTGAAGCGCTCCGTATGTTTGACAAGGCTCAGTGAAGTGAGCCAGTCCCCCCAACCAAGTGCCCAGTGATTTCTCTGACATAAGGAGGCTGATTCACAGGGGGGTAGGGAGGGGAGCATGGGGGGAATAGAGGACTCTAGACAGGGCAGAGGGGTGGGAGGGAGGGGGCAGGGGTTATTAGTGATGGTGGAATGTGATGATCATTATTATCCAAAGTACAGGTATGAAGACACGGATGGTGTGAATATACTGTGTAGACAACCAGACGTCTGAGAAACTGGGCTCTATGTGTGTGATAAGAATTATAATGCATTCCACTGTCATGTATTAAAAAATTAATACTTAAAATTACATAAAAATCACACAACCAAAAAAAAAAAAAGCATGTGGCATAGAGCAGTGTGGTAAGGAAGGAAGGCACAACCCTAGATGCCTCTCCCACCCAGGACTTGCCTTTGTAAGTATTACACCTGTAGCTGCATGTCTACCTGTCAATCTAAAATACCAAACTGCACTGTCGTCATTCGACCGGAAAATACTTATGGTTCTTCATACACAACCTTGTAGGAATTGTATTGAAAGGTAAGAGAAGTAAAAAAAAAGAAAGAAAGAAAGAGAGAAATCAGTGGTGATATTAAATATCACCATGTTTACCAAGACTCAGTCATTTTCCAGACTTTACAAAAAAGAAAAACTTTAGAAGTTTTTTGTTTTGTTTTGTTTGAAATAAAGTATAATAGGAATCTAAGTTTCATTTTCTGGTGAAGATATTTTAGCAGACATTTTCTGTAATGCAATATTTATTTTATTTTTATTTTATTGGCATGATCACATGTTCGATATTCAATAAAAGAAAATAGTTGATATTAAAAAAAGAAGAATTAACAATGGCCAACAAATGCGTGAAAAATGTTCAACATCCTTAGCAAGCAGAGAAATGCAAGTCAGACTACATGCAGTCTTCAGGGGTCCACATCACGACACCGCTGGAGGGGAGGAGGAGAAACAGGGACACGCTGCGCTGTTGGCGGGACGGGAACTAGTGCAGCCCCTGGAAGTCCATGTGGAGGCTCCTCACAGACTGGGCATGGCCCCCACATGGCCCCGCTGTTCTGCTCCCTGGGATTTATCCTGAGAAGGAAGGCATCTTCTACAGCGAGATACGCACACCCACATTTATGGCAGCACAATTCCCCAACAGCCAGACCATGGAGTCAGTGGATGGACGGATAAGAAAAATGGGCTGTGTGCACACACAATGGAGTTCTACTCAGCCCTGAAGAAAAATGAAGCTACGTCATTTTCAGGAGAATGGATGGAACTAGGGACCATCATGTTAACAAAATAAGCCAAACTCAGAAGGTCAAGGGTCGTGTGTTGTCTCATAGGTGGAAGACAGAGAGGAAAGAGGGAAGGAAAGGTGGGGATCCCTAAAAATCAGAGATCAGCAGAGCAAAGCCCCGAGGGGCAGGAGCTGGGAGGGAGAAGGGGGTGGTGAGAGTGGTGCTGGCCAGACTGTTGTACTGTCCACATGTGGGGGTGCGCACCCACAGATCTCCACCTGCACAGCTGCCACGCACCTGTTCTGTCTGCATGTGTGGGTGCACCACAGATCTCACCACCTGCACAGCTGCCAGGCACCTGTTCTGTCTGCATGTGTGGGTGCACCACAGATCTCACCACTTGCACGACTGTCATGCACCTGTTCTGTCTGCATGTGGGGGTGCACCACAGATCTCACCACCTGCACGACTGCCAGGCACCTGTTCTGTCTGCATGTGTGGGTGTGCACCACAGATCTCCCACCTGCACAGCTGCCACGCACCTGTTCTGTCTGCATGTGGGTGTGCACCACAGATCTCACCACCTGCACAGCTGCCATGCACCTGTTCTGTCCACATGTGTGGGTGCACCACAGATCTCACCACTTGCACGACTGTCACGCACCTGTTCTGTCTGCATGTGGGGGTGCACCACAGATCTCACCACCTGCACAGCTGCCACACACCTGTTCTGTCTGCATGTGTGGGTGTGCACCACAGATCTCACCACCTGCACAGCTGCTAGGCACCTGTTCTGTCCGCGTGTGTGGGTGTGCACCACAGATCTCACCACCTGCGTGACTGTTGCGCACCAATAGACCACACGGGAAGGCAGGACACCTACAGCTGAGGGGACCGACGTCCTCGCCATCACAGGGGCTGGTCCACCCCACCGCCCTGAGGGGAAGGAGTGGGAGCAAGAAGGCTGAGGTCAGCACCCCCGGGAGCAGCACTATCGACACAGCTGCCCCCAAGGGTCCATCCAGGGCTAAGGCAGCGTGGGAGCAGGTGTCAAGGACGTTGGTCCCTAAGGAACAGTGGCCACAGCAGTGTTTGCACGTGGGGCGTGGCTGTGAAGCTCAACGTCCCTTGTCCCTGCTGACTGCCTACGGAATTGCCCAGGCCCTCAGCCCCAGACACTGGACGGTGGGAACGGGCCTCCTGCAGGCTGGTCAGGGGCCGGTGCTCAGCCAGGCCATTCTCACAGCTGTCCAGGGGTGGAGCTGCTGCCGTGCCAGTGCAAGGAAGCCTCTCCTGCACCCTGTGGCACAGGGGTACTTGTCAATAGCTTTGCTCAGGCCACAACATGAACTCCTGTCCTGTGGTCCAAGGTTTGGCCTGGACAGGGGCTGTTGGCTGTGGCCTTCCACAGGCCCATGCATTGCTGCCCACCCCTGCCCTGCAGCACCTGTGGGGACTGGCTCTTCCCAGGTGGGGCTGACTCCCATACCTGACAGCCAACCACTCTGACCCTCTGGATTCCACAAGGGGCACATGGAGGTGGCCTCTTCAGCCCTCAGAGTGCCCTGTAGCCCTGCCCATGCATGGCGGTTTGGCCTGAGTGCTGGCCGGGGTCCTGGAAGACTTGGCTGGGAGGCAGCCGACAGAAGGCTCTGTGTTGGTCCTGCTCTTGACCACCATGGGGCCTGTGTCCTCTAGGGTCTAGTGGGAGCCTCTCCGAAGCCAAAGCTGAGATGCGTGTTCAGAAGCGTGTGGAATCATGCCGTCTCTTCAGTGTTGGTGCGGGGTGTCTTGGAAAAGGGGTCACCAGTCTCTGGGGCCACATGGAGAGCCCTGCCCAGCCTCAAGCATGAGAAGGGGTGGGAGAGGGCTGGTGGGTGCTCCCACAGGAGCCCTGCCGCCTGTCCACGGGGCCCCGGGCCGTGCTGTCCGTCAGCTCCTCCCTGCCCTGAGTGAAGGGCACCGAGAGGACGCTGCGGGCCTTCCCGAGTTCTGGATGGGCTCAGAGATGGAGCCTGCCCTTGGCTGACCCCTCTGCTGTTTGGGCTGCGTCGAGACCCCTGCTCTGCAGTTGGAGCGCAGCTCTGGGCTACTCTATTGATATTAGGGACCTGCTGTGCCGCTCAGCACCCACCGGCTTCCCCGCAGCCCTGGAGACGCAGGTATCGTGCTCCTGAATGACAGCGTGCTGGGATGATACGCAGCACTGAGGCAGCAGAACCGGGGTCTGCTTTGTTCTCACTGCGACATCTCTGAGAAGGAAAGACCGACAATCAAGAACATGAATATGTCGGACTTCACCTCCGTGGCATGAAGATGATAAAACGTGTAATGATTGCAAAATAAAAGTTTGTGGGGAAGTGCTGTTGTCTGAACCCGGAGGATGAAATTCTCGCAGAAGCACTTCCTCAAGAGCAGGTTAAGATGCTCCGACCACCTGAGCTCCCAAGGGGCAGAAAATGGAGAGCATCAGACTAAGGCACGGCGGAGTCAACAGGGACACGGAGACCGCTGCCGGCCCTGCTGCTTCCTGTTCATGGACGTCCCCAAGCTCGGGGTCCACCAGGAGCCCTGTCACAGCAAAGCCTGGGGCACAGGGTCGGGCTTGTGGCCTCAGGACGCCTCAGGGTAGCTGCAGCAGAGTCCACGGGGACCGGCACAGGCGGCATGGGAGGGTGCTGTGTGCCTCTCCTCCGGCCCAAGGAGAGCGTGGCTGCTGCAGGGAGGCCTGTCTCAGGACCTGCGGTCACGACAGCCCGGCCCCAATGCCCGTCCTTTCTCTATCCTGTCCAGGAGAAAGAGGGGCTTCTTCTGATTAGGTACACGCACAGTCTGCACACACATGCACACACACAATCTGCACACACACGCACACGCACAGTCTGCTCACACATGCACACACACAATCTCCACACACATGCACACGCACAGTCTGCACACACATGCACAGGCACAGTCTGCACACACATTCACACACACAATCTCCACACACATGCACACGCACAGTCTGCACACACACGCACAGGCACAGTCTGCACACACATGCACACGCACAGTCTGCACACACATGCACACGCACAGTCTGCACACACATGCACACACACAATCTGCACACACATGCACACACACAATCTGCACACACATGCACACACACAATCTGCACACACATGCACACGCACAGTCTGCACACACATGCACACGCACAGTCTGCACACACATGCACACGCACAGTCTGCACACACATGCACACACACAATCTCCACACACATGCACACGCACAGTCTGCACACACATGCACACGCACAGTCTGCACACACATTCACACACACAATCTGCACACATATTTAATCTGCACACACATGCACAACCCACATGTGCACACATATACACATGTGAGCATGACATACCTGTGTGTCTGTGCATGAACATGATGCACACATGCAGGAACACATCACACACACATGCACACACACATGCACACACACACACACACACTGCTGTGCACACCCTCCCTCCTGAGCCACTCCAGGAGCAGGTGCTGTCTGTGAGCCTGCCGCGCTGGCGCTCTATGGCCCTGGGATACCGGCCATGCCTGCCTGGTCTGGTACAGGCCTGCCCAAGCGAAGCCAGCGGCCGGCTGTGGGGCGCTGAAGGCCTGCGCACTGGCCACACCTTCCACCTCTTCTTTAAGGCAGTAGGAACGGGGTCACTTTTCCTTTTACTCAAGGTCCTACAAC